TAAGTTGTAAATAAATTAGAATACAAAGATTTTTCTGTTGAATGGCAATTTGGTTCACCACCGTCAATTGCTAAAAAAAGTATAATGTCCAGTATTATAATAATGACGAATGCACGACAGACGACTATAATCCCAGTTTTAAATCAAGATTCGAAAATTAGATGTAGAATTACTTGTTTAATTGCAATTTACAGCATTTAAAATCTAAACGATAAATGAGAGTATGTCAAATACTGTTTTAAATCACATACTCAGTATGTGATTTAAAACATTCCGATGAATATCTGGCATTAAGTTTTAATCTATAGACATAGTCGAATGGCTTGGGTTTCAACGGAATTCGAATTTCTAATGCAGTAACTGTCGTGACAATGCAGCTCATTTGAATATCTTATGATTCTCAGCGTCTTCAGTATACTCTTACTGTAAACATAGTACTATTACTATTACTATTACTATCTCTTTAGCAATACGCCAAAGCAGAAACCGCTACTAGTACTACAACTATTTTACGCTTCCGTTTCAAGGACCTTAGTCCAATCGATCACCCCAAAAAAAGGGGAATAGTTGTAAATAAATATTGTCCAATATTATGATAATGACGAATGCACGACCGACGAAGACTATAATCCTACTAGTATTAAATCAAGATTCGAGAATTATATGTAGAATTACTTAGGGTTTTCCTTTTCTTGTACGCACAGCAGATAGCTAGTGGCTCTCAGCTATAATTATGACAGTAAGTTGATTTAAGTTAGAGAGTTAATAGTTTTGGTAGAAGATTAAAAGCACAGATGCCGCACTAATCTAGATTACTGAACATGATTATGGGACGTAACGGGTTTAATCGAGTACTGATACCCCGTGATGTAGTAATATCTTAATATGGCCCTGATAATCAGAAGAAGACGTCTGGTAAAATCCCTGTAAATTCTTATCTGGACATTAAAAACGCCAATCTCCTGAATTTAAGTATTTAAAAAGTGTGCGATTCCGTTAATAGCACAATGGTTGTGTTATTTATAATATTTTGGATGATAATTATGTTATCTATACCATTCAGGACTGTTAACATAAAGCCGAATGTCCGCTTGCCAGCTACAGAGAAATAAATTAAAATCGACAGAAAGCAACCAAAATGAACGATGGAAACCAGTGAATTGGACGTGACTTAAATAAAGAACAAGTCAGGACTTTTAAGAGCGAATATGGGAGGCTATTTCAGACATCTTTAGACTAGCCTTTACCGATTATGAAATTGCCGTATATTTTGTATTTTGTACTGATTCCGCCGTTTTCGGGAAAACCAGACTTAACTGTCAACTGACGAATTCGTATAACTCTCCCTTGATTATCTTTTTTATTATTGATTATCTCAATCAGACCACATTAATTGTATCAACTTTCGTAATAATTTTACTTCGATTGTTAATACTGTTGACAGTGTTATCAAGCTTTTTATTGGATGTTATTAGCCTTGTTAGGTTCCCCCATCATACGTCATACTACTGGTTCCTCCGATTCACTAAAGGAATTTATCTCACATTAGGAGTTTGTGTCTGTTTTTTCTGCCGCCCACTCAAACGTCCCTTGCATTAGGAATGATAATAAGACCAAAACATTCGTATTTCGCGAATGATTTGTCTTTGAAACCCCAAATAATGATAACATATAATATTAAGTCTAAAATATAATAACTGGGATTGAAGATAACTAAATACAGATTGACGAAATCAAACGACAGCGATATAAAATTAGCCTAAATATATTATGTAAAAAGATTGCAGGACATAGCATAAATTCCATAATAAAAATTACCGCGTAACCGAACCAAATGTCATTAAACTACAAATTTAGTTGACCCAGATTTAACCGCAGGTTTTGACACCTGCATGCGACACCATCAAAACAGCACGACATTAAAATCCAGACCCCTCATCTCTGCGCGCTTCTTTTATTGGCTGGCGGGACAGCCGCTGTGTTGTGAGTGGTCAGAATGGTTCATAACATAGTTAGCAACTAAAACAGCTGTTGTTATTACTATTTACCTAAAGTATAAAGAAGTTGTATTATGTGCATTATGCAGCCTGCTTGACCTTTCAAAAGGGACACAGGTTGGAGACCTCCTGTATTGTGGATTATAAATTGTGGCTGCTGGCTTTAGGTATTTTGTAACACCTGTTCAGTGTTGCCGTTAAAAAGTATTTGTATCACGTGATCGGGATCCCAAATTAGCCCTCCTAATCTTTAGTCCAATTCCTGATTATAGGGAATATTTTTACTGGGTATGAAGTTAGCGTTTTTTGTAGTACCTATGACATGATAAACAGTTCTCTCTAGCAGCTATGATAATCAATGAGCCAAGCGAATTTCATTTTGAAGAAAAGGCCGTTAAGAACAAACCAACTCACTGCGATTTACGATATTATTAAGACATTAAAATAAAAGCGTCAAATAGCTAAGCAAATGACCTAAAATAGTTTAGTCTTCAAGATTTATTTACTAATAATAGTACTAACTAATTTCAAAGCTTTTACTCGAACAACGGAAAAGAGTTTATTATATTTATTGTTTAGAACTTTAGAAGTAAAGTTAGAAGTAAAGTTTAGAAGTAAAGTTTAGAAGTAAAGTTTAGAAGTAAAGTTTAGAAGTAAAGTTTAGAAGTAAAGCCAACTTTTTGATTATATTTTAATTGTTATAATTACTCGATTATAGAGTTTGTTAGATAATAGCAACTTGCTGAATGCTGAACGTATTAAATAACACTACAGATACTTTCAACAATACCATTATTATGTATAAGGAGTGCCAGGATCTATTAAAGGTGCGACAAGTTCAAGACAACGGCCGTGACCCCATCTTGTGATTAATGGGGCCAAAGTGGCCAGTCTGTGGCCAGGGACCACCATTGAGCTTCAGGCTGCTACACGTGGTTCAGATATTTCTAACAATATTCGGAAAATAGGTATAATAGCTGGCTAACACAGTAACAGCCGGCTAACAGCCGGCTTACAAAACACAAGCAAAACACAAGCAAAACACAAGCAAGCGGTGGTTATTAGCTGTCTGTTAGAGGGAAGCTCTTTGCTTTTAAGAAAATCCTAATAGCACTCTAACAGCCGGCTAACAGCTGACGCTTACTTGTGTTTTCTTTAAAACTGCCATTCACGCTAGAGAACAATACACACGAACAACACACACTCCAAACATAGGAAGTGGGAACCTACCTCATTAAAATATGATAATTTACAAGATTTCATTGTCATTTCAAATTCGGTATATTATTTTGATACTTTGATGATGATGAATATGATAATAATATAATGATAATAAAATATCTGATAATAAACATATGATGCAATGAAGTATTGAACAAACCAATGTCCCCAAGCTTCATATTGTCGATTATGTAATATTCTGGGATTCCTCATACCAACACCTCATAATCAAAGGAAATAAGAAAACCAGCAACAAAACTAGCGAGAACCAAATCAGACATCAGTACTTGAACACTCACAAGTAACAACAATATAGTGCCGACTTTCTATAACCTCAAGACAACCAGCTCAAACAACTAATGTTAGCCTCCCATTATCCCTGCCACAAGTCTCTTGGTTTCTCTTCATTGGCCCAGGTGTCCGAACCGGCTACTTGTGTCCTTAGCCTTACCTGGACTAAGCGTCAAGACCGGAGCTTAAAAGTGTTAGTTCCACAACGGGGGATTGTACTTGTTAAATCATTGTGTGGTGGCTCTCGGTGGATCATGTTATCATACTAGTGGTAATGTTTAGAGGGACTGTTCTCGCTTATTTAAATCGCAGAAAACAGGTTACAGTTTACACATATTATGTTATATAAAGCGTATGAGAATAAATTCTCAAAAATTCGCAGTTCGTTACTCGTAGTTCATTACTCTCCGGACTCCGGAGACATAAGACTCGCAGTAATTTGTAACAATAAATTACTGCACCTTGTCTCATTATGCATCCACCATAACGCGCGGGCTTGAATAATATTGTTACGGCCGTTAGGACATGCCCTGCACTGGTGACAACATCTTCTGACAACCATCTTAGTATGAAGTGGCTGTAAAGTGTAAGTTCCCAACAGTAATGATGTAACGTCGAGTCAACCTGGGCGTTAGAGAAACATGTCGTCTTCAATAATCAATACCTACTTTATTGTGTTTATTAATTAATAATTCTCAGCTGTGTTTATGAATTAATAATTCTCGGCTAGGTTTATTCGGTGCGACGACAGGCATATCATGAGAAAATTCATGTGTTTAATAGGCAACAGATCAGAAACTTAACCGAGTCTATACTTTGTAAGCTTATTGAGTTATGGTCATAGAGTCATAGAATATGCAGATGTCTCAACTTCTCAGCTTCTGACAGTCGTTTATTTTTCCACCTTGACAACTGTTGTCACATTAGTAGATTGGGACGCGGATGGTTAGAAAATAAAACGTGAGCTGCTCGGTTACCTTCTTTACGACGCTACATCACGTGACGTAACAAACGTGGGTTTTTCTCTGATACACAATCTGCAACTGGAAATCACTCAAAATATCGAAAAATGGATTTATATCGGGTTATTTTATATAGTTATAGATTTAATTTTAGGTAGTTGGCCCTGATGTTAATCAATCATGTGTCAACTTATGATTGAGAACATAATCATCATTTCCCCTGATTTAGAACGTTATTCTGTTTAAAGGGATCATTTGTAATTATTACGTGAGCCGTCCTAAGGGAGGGGTTGAAAAAAGCTCTCTTTCTTCACAATAGCTATGTATAACTATAAAATAGCTATGTATAAAATGGCTTACGCAAGGGGGAACTGCGGCGTTCCATAATATGTGAACGATCCCGTATGATGTAATCATTCACCACTGTAATATTATCACATTTATCCATCATGATATTATCACATTTATCCATAATCTCTACTTATATCTACAATTGTACACTACTCGACTAACCCTTGACTGTCACTAGGATGGCTAATCCTCAGGTGGTACCCCCCACCAATGGTTTGTCCATTGTCAAGGCGGAGATGACGCTCGTAGTGGCTGCCATCAGGGCCTCCAGCAGATGGGCGGCACATACTTACCACGTGAGTACTGAGTAGTTGTAGTTAGAACTGTTATCTTCTAACTACTGAGTAGTTGTAGTTAGCACTGTTATCTTCTAACTACTGAGTAGTTGTAGTTAGAACTGTTATCTTCTAACTACTGAGTAGTTGTAGTTAGCACTGTTATCTTCTAACTACTGAGTAGTTGTAGTTAGCACTGTTATCTTCTAACTACTGAGTAGTTGTAGTTAGAACTGTTATCTTCTAACTACTGAGTAGTTGTAGTTAGCACTGTTATCTTCTAACTGGGCCTTAATTTAATTTTTTAAAGATATAATATTTATTATAATTAATTTTTTAAAGATATAACATTTATTATAATAAGTAAAAACGTTATTGAAAAACAGGAATTATTAAAAATTCAAACGTCTTCTATCCTTGTCCCCTTGGAAAATACACTGTCAAGAAAGCTGTTTGGTAACTGGTAAGGCCCAACAGTTGAATCTCCCTATAATGACAGCTTGAAATAAATGCACTTTACGTAACTGTGTGTTGTAGCTTTGTAGTAGCCACACAGTTGTACCGTTCAAATTTTAGTAACTAAGGGGACTGTAAACAGATACTCGTCGAGAAGATTCTAGAAAATTAGAAACAGTTTAGAGTAAAAATCAGTCAAGCTGAACCAAAAAGAAGTCTATCAGAAAAATGTAAATCATGGAATTATAAACAATAAACATTGAACATTCATCAACAAATAAAACATGGCCTTTCACGATGCTTGTTACCTAATACCTACTGAATCCTTTGTGTGTGCTATATTTATATCGTTTTCTTCTAATTAAGTATTGTAATATTAAACTAATTACAACACTACTTACATATTTAATTTGTTGAGTATTATTTATCGTGATGGAAATATTTGAAGCGGGTAAAAGCCAGTCCAAACCATGGCTCCTTAACACGAGGACTTCGTTTTAAATTGTGTTGAAAAGCACTAATATGTAGTTTAATAGCCCTACTTAAACAGGTCGATAATAATAATAATATATATATATTTTCGTTTTAAATTGTGTTGAAAAGCACTAATATGGGCAAGTTTCCATAAACGATATTTTATGATCGGCGCCGATAATCGCTTATTGAGCGCTTTTTCGGCGCTTTTTTTAAAAAAAACCGTTTACAATCGCTTTTTTTACGATTATAAACGGTTTAAAAAAAATCGCTTATAATCGACTATAATTGGTGTCATAATTCAAAAAAGCGCTTTTTTGAATTTAAAAGCGCTTATAAGCGCTTTTAAGCGCTTACTAGCGTCGCTGAGCGATTTGAAAGCGGTTTTCCAGTAGGATTGGCGCCAAAAACGGGTGGATAAGCGGTTGGCCGGATAAGCGATTCGTAGGCGCTTTTTTGAACCATTTATAAGCGATTATAAGCGCTTATAAATGGGGTGCAATTTAGCTGTTTGTAAAGCGCAAATAAAGCGCTTATAAGCGCTTTTAAAATTGAGTCAGGAAAACGCTATATTACATCTTATAACCGCTTATAATCGATTATAAGCGTTTTTTTAGAAATCGCTTATTACGGCTAATTCATCGCTATTTCACCGCTTTTACCGCTTTTCCTATCATCCATGGCCAGGTGAGCAGGAATTAAAAAGCGCTTATAAGCGCTTTTTCGATGCTGCCCCTAGCCTGGTCGGAACGGGGTAGTACCCGGAATTTAAAAGCGCTTATAAGCGATTTCTCAATTCCCCTTAACCTGGTTGGAACTTTCATGTGCTTTTCTGAGCAACCTGGGGTGCACCGGCAGAGTCAGGATTTAAAAGCGCTTATAGGCGCTTATGATCGCTTTTCTACCACTTTTCCTATCACCCATGGCATGGGTTGGCAAGAATTATAAAGCGCTTATAAGCGTTTTTCAATGCTGCCCCTTAGCTGGTCGGAACGGGGGAGTGCCCGAAATTTAAAAGCGCTTATAAGCGATTTCTCAATTCCCCTTAACCTGGTCGGAACTGGAGAGTGCCCACTTGCATGTGCTTTTCTGAGCAACCTGGGGTGCACCGGCAGAGTCAAGATTTAAAAGCGCTTATAGGCACTTATGATCGCTTTTCTACCGCTTTTTTTATCACCCATGGCCTGGTTGGCAAGAATTATAAAGCGCTTATAAGCGTTTTTTCAATGCTGCCCCTAACCTGTTCGGAACAGGGGTGTGCCCGGAATTAAAAAGCGCTTATAAGCGCTTTTTTAATGCTGCCACTAACCTGGTCGGAACGGGGGAGTGCCCGGAATTAAAAAGCGCTCTTAAGAGCTTTTTAAATGCTGCCCCTAACCTGGTCGGAACTGGAAATCAGAGTGCCCGCTTATAAGTGCTTTTCTGAGCAACCTGGGGTGCACCGGCAGAGTCAGGATTTAAAAGCGCTTATGATCGCTTTTCTACTGCTTTTCCTATCACCCATGGCCTGGTTGGCAAGAATTAGAAAGCGCTTATAAGCGCTTTTTCAATGCTGCCACTAACCTGGTCGGAACGGGGGAGTGCCCGGAATTAAAAAGCGCTCATTAGCGCTTTTTTAATGCTGCGCTTATAAGCGATTTCTCAATTCCCCTTAACCTGGTCAGAACTGGAAATCAGTGTGCCCGCTTATAGTTATAAGTGCTTTTCTGTGCAACCTGGGGTCACCGGCAGAATCAGGATTTAAAAGCGCTTATGATCGCTTTTCTACCGCTTTTCCTATCACCCATGGCCTGGTTGGCAAGAATTAGAAAGCGCTTATAAGCGCTTTCAGATGTGACTCTGATCAACTGTATAGTTGACAATTTATACTATGTATTGACGTTACAATATCGATCAATTGTGTTAACAGTAGACAAAGCTCTAAGCAACTAAGAAGTAAAACAAATTTTGCTCATTACTACAACCTACAAAAAATTATTTGTCATTGCTGTTTAGTACAGGCTCGATTTCAAAACACTGTTTCAAGAGTAACAAATTATTCATTGTGGAAAATTCTAAGTTGCACAAGTACGGCGCGCGCTAACATTGACTCTTAAAATAATCGGATTGCTTTAATGTTAAAGTACCCGGGTTTTTACGCTTGCAGTGGCGCCCCACCTCCCGGTGACACAGAGGCGGTACTTGTGCGAAAAAATGCTTGCAGCCTGGGCACGGATCTAAGCAATTTTATATTGGGTGTCAAAATTTTGTCCTCATATCTGACGTCGCGCTTGGCAACATGAACACTGCGGGCGCGCGCACGAAGGCGAGTTGGTGCTTTTCTTTACTTGTGAAACAAGTGGCGCGAATTTTACCAGGGGACCCCAAGCTAGTATGTTCATAAGCATAGCCTGGTGTAATTAAACCCTCTAAAACGCGCAAATAGGAGTGTTTATGCGATTTTACAATCAAATAATCAGATTTTACAATCTAACTCAGCGCGCGGCTTTTGTAGTGCATACGTCACTTCTTTTTTATTGGTAGTTGGCGTGCACGTGATCTTTTGCGCGGCTGTAATTGGTTCTGAACGATCACGTGAATGCTAGTCCGAATAAAGATTTGGCGGAATGCAGAACGACAGGCTGAGCGCAGCCCAGTAACGCGAATTGTAAGCACCCTGTCACCCGATCTTGAGGTGACGTATGACACTTCGTTTAACAAACTAATTAAAACGTTTTCTGTTTCCCGCTAGGCTCATTGGACCAGGTGAGCTTGCATGCTTGTGAATGTGATTGTAAGTACAGCTGTACTGTAGTTTTTACCTAATTACCCCTACTGCAGAAACTGCAAAGTGCGGGAAATTTTGGGAACCAATATATGGTTGCCAAACTCGATGGAGGGTTGGCGGCTAAATCAAAGCTCAACGGCTCTGGATTAGGGGTGGACGATAAAAATAAACTTGCTCAGATTTTAAAATTTTTTGTAACACTGTTTTCTAGAGACTGTGAGAATTTTCACAATACCATATTTGTCATCCCTTTTTGGAAAGATCAGTGAGTTTCGCCTCACTAGCTGGGTGCCATTTGCTTTATCCAGAGCCCTTGCGCTTGCAGTAGCGCGCGCCCACTCACTTCTTGACGTACTTGTGAAACAAGCGCGCCCGAAGTGGCGCGAAAGCACATGGTTATGTGAAGGGTGCCATATTTGATGGTGCGCGGCTTTTGGAGCAAAAGTAGATGTAAAAGTCGCGTAATTTGACCAAATTCGTAGATTTTTGTCGTATTATTTCGGACACTTTCCTCGTAAGTCTATGAGTACCAGAGTACAGAGTGAGCTCACCAATTTTTGTTGCAATCGGAGGTCGGGAAGGATACTCAATATCTATTTGTTTGAAAAAAATTGTGCTGGCCGAAATTAGCGCTAAAAAACTTGTAGGTTTACAACCTACCAGGACGCGCGCCGAGTTGGACTCGTCGACGGTCCTATGGAACAAATATTTTACGAGTATCACCCGTTAATGTTTTACTAGCCTGTCACGTGACTAAAACGGTTTTTGCCCATGTAACTCTCCAGGGAAATATTTCAACCCTACGTCATGGCGGGTGATTCGGGATCAGCGTCCAAAAATACACCAATTTAGATCAATGTCATACCCAATAGTAGAGGCTCTTACGGGCAAAAAGACGTGTTTTCTGCTACGAGTTTAGAGACCTAACCGCTAATTGGACACAATAGTATGATGTCTAAGGATCGATAATATGTTAAGAAGTATAAATTTGGCCTTATTAGTCACGTGCTATACCAATGCGCGTTTTAAACTTTGACAGTCTATTACTCTAAGGCAAATAAAGTAATTATATCCATATTTTGTCAGCAATAAGATCACATTATTTTCTATTTAGTGTGAAAATATGAGCTAGAACGGACATAATCTCGCTGAGTTATAGCTGTTTGAAATTTATGATGAACGCGCGGGTGCCAATTGATAACAACTAAATGCTTTTGCGCGTAGTGCGCGTCGAAAATTTGGCAAAAACGCTTGCGGAGTGACAATATTCAAACTTCGATTAAGTATATGAAGTGGGTACTTCTCGGAAAGGAAAAATTTAGGCAAACACGATGTGACTATTTTTGGGTTGATTTAATACAACTGCAAAAAATTATTCAAACTTAAAGCAAAAAAGTCAAAATTTTTACCACTTTTTTGGATTTTTACCTCAGAACAAATAGAGGGATTTGTTTTATTTTTATACAATCTTGTGCGGCTGTCTTTTAGCTATCTTTATGCAAGTTTTGCCGACATGCCAACAAAATTAACTTGCTCAAAATATCAAAAAACATGGTTTTTTGGCCTATTTTTGGCCCAAAAATCGGTTTTTTGCGATTTTACCCCAGAACAATCAGTCCAATCATCTTGAAACCACTTTCAATCGATTCTACGGTCAAAAATACGTCTAGTAAGGTGTATCTGGGGTCCCTAACGTATCGAGCAGACAATGCCCGTAAGAGCCTCTACTACCAAAGGCCTTTTCACAAGAATTTTCTTAAATTTTGGGCGAGCGATTTCGTAGGAGCGATTCAAACGCGCAATCTGGCGCGGTTTATTTGTTGCAGTTTTACTATCTAATAACCAAATTTTACAAGCTATCTCAGCACGCCTGCACGCGCACGGCTTTACTAGCGTATATATACATTACTTTTTTCCTATTGGTACTCAGCGTGCACTTGTTTTTATGTCCACGATTGATTATGAACAAGTACGTGAATGCTGGTCACGCACACAATAACTTTCAATGAGCACCGCACTTTTTTCAGACGTCGTGATTCGCTCAGCCCGACTAGAGATTCCTTGGAATGACATAAACAGGCCTGTCATACTCGTTGACAGACTGAGCGTGGCCCAGCGCAATAATTTAATTTCATATACTATATTTTTCTTTTGCAAGTTCTGAATGTGAAGTGTGTATGACTGATGACGCAGCGCGCATCGACCGCCACCAGGATAACCACCACCATTAACAACATATAAATAAACGCTTGCAAGCGCTTTACAATTTCTGACAATTATTGTCGGAGAACTTTGCCGCGCCGTGCACTTAGCCTTCTTGCTTGGCTTCTAGATCGCCAGTCAAACAACTATGTTTAAATCCATGTTGATAAATGATAGATAAATCGGTAAAAACCAGCAATAAAAAGTGATTGTAATCGCTTATAACTTATAACCGCTTTTCAAATCCTTAGGGGCAGCATTAAAAAAGCGCTTATAAGCGCTTTCTAATTCCTGCCAACCAGCCCATGGGTGATGGGAAAAGCGGTAGATAAGCGATCATAAGAGCCTATAAGCGCTTTTAAATCCTGACTCTGCCGGTGCACCCCAGTTTGCTCAGAAAAGCACATACGAGTGGGCACTCTCCAGTTCCGACCAGGTTGAAGGGAATTGAGAAATCGCTTATAACTATAAGCGCTTTTAAATTCCGGGCACTCCCCCGTTCCGACCAGGTTAGGGGCAGCATTGAAAAAGTGCTTATAAGCGCCTTTTAATTCCGGGCACTCCCCCGTTGCGACCAGGTTAGTGGCAGCATTGAAAAAGCGCTTACAAGCGCTTTCTAATTCCTGCCAACCAGGCCATGGGCGATAGGAAAAGCGGTAGAAAAGCGATCATAAGCGCCTATAAGCGCTTTTAAATCCTGACTCTGCCGGTGTAGCCCAGGTTGCACAGAAAAGAACTTATAAGCGGGCACTCTGATTTCCAGTTCCGACCAGGTTAAAGGGAAATCCGGAAATCGCTTATAAGCGCATATTAATTCCAGGCACTCCCCCGTTCCGACCAGGTTAGGGGTAGCATTGAAAAAGCGCTTAAAATTCTTGCCAACCAGGCCATGGGTAATGGGAAAAGCGGTAGAAAAGCGATCATAAGCGCCTATAAGTGCTTTTAAATCCTGACTCTGCCGGTGCACCCCAGGTTGCACAGAAAAGAACTGATAAGCGGGCACTCTGATTTCTAATTCCGACCAGGTTAAGGGGAATTGAGAAATCGCTTATAACCGCTTATTAATTCCAGGCACTCCCCCGTTCCGAACAGGTTAGGGGCAGCATTGAAAAAACGCTTATAAGCGCTTTATAATTCTTGCCAACCAGGCCATGGGTGATGGGAAAAGCGGTAGAAAAGCAATCATAAGCGCTTTTTAATCCTGACTCTGCCGGTGCACCCCAGGTTGCTCAGAAAAGCACTTATAAGCGGGCACTCTGATTTCCAGTTCCGACCAGGTTAGGGGCAGCATTTAAAAAGCGCTTATGAGCGCTTTTTTATTCCGGGCACTCCCCCGTTCCGACCAGCTAAGGGGCAGCATTGAAAAACGCTTATAAGCGCTTTATAATTCTTGCCAACCCATGCCATGGGTGATAGGAAAAGTGGTAGAAAAGCGATCATAAGCGCCTATAAGCGCTTTTAAATCCTGACTCTGCCGGTGCACCCCAGGTTGCTCAGAAAAGCACATGAAAGTTCCAACCAGGTTAAGGGGAATTGAGAAATCGCTTATAAGCGCTTTTAAATTCCGGGCACTACCCCGTTCCGACCAGGCTAGGGGCAGCACCGAAAAAGCGCTTATAAGCGCTTTTTAATTCCTGCTCACCTGGCCATGGATGATAGGAAAAGCGGTAAAAGCGGTGAAATAGCGATGAATTAGCCGTAATAAGCGATTTCTAAAAAAACGCTTATAATCGATTATAAGCGGTTATAAGATGTAATATAGCGTTTTCCTGACTCAATTTTAAAAGCGCTTATAAGCGCTTTATTTGCGCTTTACAAACAGCTAAATTGCACCCCATTTATAAGCGCTTATAATCGCTTATAAATGGTTCAAAAAAGCGCCTACGAATCGCTTATCCGGCCAACCGCTTATCCACCCGTTTTTGGCGCCAATCCTACTGGAAAACCGCTTTCAAATCGCTCAGCGACGCTAGTAAGCGCTTAAAAGCGCTTATAAGCGCTTTTAAATTCAAAAAAGCGCTTTTTTGAATTATGACACCAATTATAGTCGATTATAAGCGATTTTTTTTGAACCGTTTATAATCGTAAAAAAAGCGATTGTAAACGGTTTTTTTTTAAAAAAGCGCCGAAAAAGCGCTCAATAAGCGATTATCGGCGCCGATCATAAAATATCGTTTATGGAAACTTGCCCTAATATGTAGGTTAATAGCCCTACTTAAACAGGTCGATAATAATAATGATATTTTTATGAGATATAATGGGGAAGAAAATATTTATGCATGCAAAGAATATTAACAACATTAATATTATAGCTGTTTTAAGTGAGTTAAACGGTTTAAGGTATTTTTATAATACATATAAAGCAATAATAATAATATATTAGTACTTTTATAATATATTTACCAGGTCTCTTGTAAGAAGCGAGTGGGCGAATATTTGGCCACACATTTTTGGTAGATTAAAAACCATCAAACAAAGAATTTTTGTCATAAGAAATAATATTTATATCAGACAGTAATGTTTTTCATCAGGTGTAAATAGCGTGACAAATAGATAGATAGAAGCACTAAAGGTGGTTTCAAAGGGTGTCATGGCTGGCAGGCAGGGTTTCAATTATCATGCGTCATAATTCACTATAGTTTCAGGTTTTTAAGACAATGGTATATATCTTATCGATCATCGGAGAGGCTTAAAATTTTAAGATCACAATCAAACAATGAATACTATACATCATAAGAAATAGTATCTTTCATAAGAAATTCTATCTTTTAAAAGAAATTGTGTTCTTTCAGAAGAAATTATTTCTTTCATAAGAAATTATTTCTTTCATAAGAAATTATTTCTTTCATAAGAAATTATTTCTTTCATAAGAAATTATTTCTTCCATAAGAAATTGTAATTTTCTTTCCTAAGAAATAGTATTTTTCATATGAAATTGTATCTTACATAAGAAATAATGCCATGAGGACAATAGCGCATCTATTGGAACAGTACGACAAAAGTCAATATGTGACCTCAAACTTCGCAGTGATAATAGTGTGCACAAGAAAAGATTTGTAAATCTTTTCTTGTGCACACTAGTCTTATTATATAAATTTAATAAGACTGAGAGTAAGTGATATTCTATTGAGGAGTGCCCACTTGACAACAATAATCTCCACTGAGGACTGCAGTTGCCCGAGGCTACTACAGTACCCAAATAACTACTACAGAACCCAAATAACTACTACGGAACGGTATGCCTGATAAACTAGATATTCGCTATATTACCTACCTCAGATGTACCGTACATCTGTGACACGTGCTGATCCCAAACCCTCACACGTGATGAAGTACAGAACTTCTACCACTGTGCGGATAAACTGATAAATAACCAATAATCGTAGCTTAACTTTCTTATTAATGGCATTGGATACCACATTACCATAGGATGCACAGGACCATTATTGTTCATAAAAAAACACTAAATTAACAAGACTGGCGCAGATCGAGGCTACCATTACCGTCTAGTGACCTGACAATTACAATGTAGATACCAAGTATACCAACGTATTCTACAGAATGAATAGGTTGGATTTTAAATACGATTTATCATGAGACCAACCATGCTCAATTAAAAAGAGACATGCTTGTAGTTTATATTGGTGTTTCCTAAATAATCATTATAAAGTAAGGAATGTTTCAGGAGGAATGTCAGAATACATTGCTGAAGAGTTTTCACGATCTGAAGGAGCATCTGGCACCTATCCAATGTAAGTTTATTTAATGGTTACATTAATATAATGATACTTAGATATCATTTTACTTAGATATCATGATAATATATCCACTGTGAGGTACACAGGATGATGATGTAATAGTTGGTGGGGAAATCAACGGCTCCCGCAATTTAACGTCAAAGAACAAATTATATGCGGAGATGGCGCTGACAAATACGTATGATGATTGTGTTTGCATATTCGTGTTGGAGAGTCGGAGACCTCCATCTTATCAAATATTGATCCTACTGGAGAGTCGGAGATTTAAGATAGTATTTCAATATGATTGGATTGCATAAGTCTACGATTATGTCATTAAGATTAAACACGGGGATTTTTAATTGTATTTGTGAGTCAATCTTATCGGAGATGTTTTGACACAAGTCACAAAGTCTAACAACAAGGTCTAGTCGACAAATGCTTTCGCAAAATCGTGCTCAATAGTTGGAAGAAGAAATCATTGAACGAAGAAGGAATAACTCGAACCTATTTACCAAAGCAAAATAGCATATCGTGTTCTGCGTGATAAACAAGCAGAGGAAATGAACATGGAGCGTTTGTGAGTCACTAATTATGGTATGATTAATAATAAGCTGTGTTATATCATAATGTCTTAATGTCTGCGGTTAAAATCTTTGCCTGGGATCCGTGTCTGAATAATTCGGTGGGTTAAACTTGATTATTATATGGGGAATGTCACGCGTTGTTACATATATTACTGAACGGTAGGTGTCGTTAGTCACTGTGAATGCTTCAGAAAAATGCAGAATAGTGCAGCTTAGTGTCAGGCTTGCTTAACCAATCTGCATGACACTACAAAAGAATATATCCATCATTCCTCGGGATATCTATCAGGGTATGACTAGGCATAAGAGGTTAAACGACAGTGTACAGTTCTCAACTGGCCGGTTCCCGTACCAGGTACTGCGATGACTAAGGTGCTGTTAAAAGCAAATGCAAAGTTCTTGGCCGAATAAGGTAGCGGTACCTTTAAAGTGAACTGTAATGCTCTAGAAACATTGATTACAGCCCTCAGTTACTTCCTAAGAATTAGTCAGGCAAGTCATCAGCCGAGATGGAGATGTCATGAAGCTGGAACAGTTAGCAAGTTAATGCTTTTCAGTGCCCAACACTTAACAATGGGTATTGGGTTGATTCACAAACAGATTCTTGTTACAACCCTCTGCTACTGTGATGATCAAAGAAATTAATAAAATCAAGTTAACCTCAGGTGGCCTAGTGGTTAGAGCATCCGCCTTCTGCGCAGTAAGTCCAGGGTTCGAATCCCAGTGTCACCTAGTCTAGGGAGTAGCTAAGGATCCATTGGATCTATGCGATCTCCTCGGTCGACTCAGCCGAATGATAGGAAACTTGATTGAGGGTTAAATGAGGAGGGCCAGGGGTACCTGTTAAAAGTTCAAGAAACTTCCTAGGATACCCCTTCAGTACATACTGTAAACATAGTTCTATTACTATTACTACTTTACTATTACTATTATTTAATAAAGCAATCTTAATAATCTCAAGAAATCTGTGTGTGTGTGTGTGTGTGTGTGTGTGTGTGTGTGTGTGTGTGTGTGTGTGTGTGTGTGTGTGTGTGTGTGTGTGTGTGTGTGTGTGTGTGTGTGTGTGTGTGTGTGTGTGTGTGTGTGTGTGTGTGTGTGTGTGTGTGTGTGTGTGTGTGTGTGTGTGTGTGTGTGTGTGTGTGTGTGTGTGTGTGTGTGTGTGTGTGTGTGTGTGTGTGTGTGTGTGTGTGTGTGTGTGTGTGTGTGTGTGTGTGTGTGTGTGTGTGTGTGTGTGTGTGTGTGTGTGTGTGTGTGTGTGTGTGTGCGGGCGGGCGGGCGGGCGGGCGGGCGGGCGGGCGGGCGTGTGTGCGGGAAATTTCCGAACGGTTTAAATATTTAAGAAACGGTAAGAGTTACGGGACTGGTTTTTTCGGTATAGTGCCGATAAAACTCTGATGAAGCCCATAAGCACACAGAGAGAGAGAGTTCATACTTTCATACGACAATGTAATGCATGTTCACAAATATGATAGGCGGGTGTGGTGTTAAGGGTTAATTTCTATTGATTATTGTTTAAGATACTATAGTTTAAGATACCATTGGATACGTGAGGGCACTCCGAATAGAATTGCTCACCTAATGCGGGTTTTGACTCAACGGGTAATTACTCCTACCCTGGTCTTTTTAACTGCAGCAGTGAAATCCCGGCCGAAGGCCGGGTTACACTAGTACTATTAATAATAGTATAATATTATTATTATATAATAATATATAGTAATACTATTAATAATAATACTATTACTAATAATGTCAGCATTTAAAGTTTGAATCCCTTGATAAAATCTAAAGATCAGCGAATTATAATTTACTTTGCATTTAAACCTGGCCCACATCAGCTGAATCACGAATCTAAATCTCTTTCCTGATATCTTTTTTATTTATGAAAATCGGACTAACAAAGGAAAATAATTTCAGATCTGGAGGAAGTGGACAGTGTAACCTTCCTGGCGCCATTCCTGGAAGTTATACGGAGCGAAAACACTACTGGGCCCATCACTGGGGTGGCTCTTAGTTCCATCAACAAGATACTATCTTATAACTTGCTAGGTGAGTAGCTTCATCAACAAAATACTATATAATAACTTGCCAGGTAAGTAGCTTCATCAACAAATTCCTATTAAGTTACAACTCGCTAGCAACTCAATGTAGTCAACAATTAATTAAACTGTATAGATAATGTGCAACATATTTGGCCTCATCATGAGGCCCTCATTGAAGTACGTGCACATTTACTCAATTATAATAAAATATTATGTTATGTGTATAATAAAGTAATAAGAGGGCAATAGTTTGAGAGAATTCCCGGCTCAAGTTAATGCGGCATCAACATTTTTGACAATAAAAAGGACTGTAAAAATAATGTGAAACATATTTGGCCTCGTGGAAATGTGCGCACATTTACTCTAGATTATAATACCGTGATTTACCGCGGAGTTTGGAAGACAAGAAAAAGCCGAGGTAAATGGGGGGGGGGGGGGGGGGGGGGTAAATCGGGGGTTTTACTGTATTAAAATAGAGTAATTGTGCGCGCGCCGCGCATTTCCACGAGGCCAAATATGTATCACATCAGGGTTCGCATCAGGGTTCGCAGTTGCTCTTTAGAGTTTGTCCCAACTTCCTTTAGTAATAATATAGACAATTAGCTTTGTCTTGGTCGGCCTTGCTGTGCCATAGTGAAGTTATATGATCACTGAGGCCAGAATAGCTACTAGCTTACTAGTATTATAATGTTACCCATGGCCATATATATAATGTTACATAATATATATAATGTTACATATTATGGCCGCCATATAATATAACCACTACAAAAAGATGCAAGACATGTTTTAATATCTTACTTATAATTCAGAGAATTCTTTATGTCTGTCTGTACTACCGCCCACGTGCAAATCAGACGAGAAATAGGAAGTTGCGTAGTTACCATGGTAACGAGGATTGTTACACGCACGTGCACGTGCAATGATTGTTTTAACGTCATTTTGATCGGTTTTGTTGATATTACGCTGTGTTTAGTACAAGCAACATTTAAATCGGCTGTATCTTTGGTTGTGACGGATATTTTTTGACGCGATAAAAACTGACTGCCAAAGAAATAGAAAACTACTAGATTCATCCCTGTTACCACGGGCTTTATAGTCTATATAATAATTCAGAGAATTACAATGTATAATGTACGACCGCCCACGTGCAAATCAAACGAAAAATATGAATTTGCGTAGTAACCATGGTAAGTTGAGTTGTGTAGGATATTTTTTGACGGGATTTAAACTTACTGAAAAGAAATACTATTAGCTTCCTCCCTGTGACCACGGCTTTTCTAGTCTTACTTATAATTCAGAGAATTCTTTCTGTTGTCTGTCTGTCTGTACGACCGCCCACGTGCAAATAGATAAGAAATAGGTAGTTGCATAATAACCATAGTAACGAAGATTGTTACACGCACGTGCACGTGCAATGACTGTTTTAACGTCATTTTAATCGGTTTTGTTGATATTACGCTGTGTTTAGTACGAGCAATATTTTATTTGGCTGTATCTTCGGTGGGGATGAATACTTTTTGACACGATTAAAACTAACTTCTAAAGAATACTATTAGGTTCCTCCCTGCTGTGACCACAGGTTTTCTAGTCTATATTATAATTCAAAGAATTATTTCTGTATGCTGTACGACCGCCCACGTGCAAATTATATGAGAAATAGGGATTTGCGTAGTAACCATGGTAACGAGGGTTGTTAAATGCACCTGCACGTGCAATGATTGTTTTAACGTCATTTTGATCGGTTTTGTTGATATTACACTGTGTTTAGTGCGAGCAACATGATTGGCTGTATCTTCAGTTGTTTACTTGTGTAGGATATTTTTTGATACGATTTAAACTTACTAACAAAAATACTATTAGCCCCCTCCCTGTGACCACGGGTTTTCTAGTATTATATTATAATACTTATCAATCAGGGTTATTTGAAAAAATAATGCTGGTGTTTTAAACGGCCATAATTTCCTAACAAGTTAGTCAGAAATAGTGGTTTTATTTAAAATTCCTAAAACGTTAGAGTACCTAGTATATTTTGAAAGCCGTTAGTTAAAAAAAGTTTAAATGTGAATTGCGAATGTAATAATTCACAATCCCCAGAACATTTAACATAATAAAATGATTTTATTTCAATGCAAAGGACTTTTTTTTAGAAAAAAACAAAGCAATAATAAGCTCTAGCGACGGCCATTTAAAATGGTGAGGAGTTGGACCATATTACACGACAGTTATTATGGTCAACAAACAAATTTACGGACTATATAAATATTTTGAAGAGACCTGTGGCTCCTTATAAACAACTCCTAATCAGTTTATAATATGTATCATTGAGTTACGAGTTGCCAAATTTCTTTGGAAAACTAAAACTAAAGAAAGTGTTAAGATGAGGAAAAAGCTCACAAAGAAGTATAAATAGTGCTATTTAGTTAAAGCAAGACCGTTCTTATCTTGATTCTTGAAGTCTAGACAGTTATTTTGCCACGTTTATTGCAGACTAAAATCTACTATCATCGTATGTCAGAAGTAGGTATATGTCCTTAATTGTAGCAAAAAATGCAGAATAAATTATACGAAAACGGGTGTTAAAGCTTGATGGAAAGGCGAACAACATAAAAATGCTGCAGAAACTCTTTATAATCTTATTATTGTCCAGGATGGTCTTTATTGCCCTGTTTAACCCTGCGGTAAATCTAGTAGGGTATCTTTATTGCCCGATGAAAACCCACGGACTTTTCTAAACTTCAAAGGTTCCTTTATTATTAAACAAAAGCATTAATTGCTGTCCTCAAATATTTTCGCCGATAATACTTTATCGGCGAGATCAGAACATAATCACAAATATTATAGTAAATACTCAAGCAAAGAGAAATAAACCAGCTGCAGCGTTTGGCGATACCTCCTGCAAATGAATTAGTGACTTGAATTTATTCTCCAGTTCCATGGAAATTTACCACCCATTGATCCATTGAACGGAATTACTCGGACAAAGAAATTGTTGAGATCACGTTTCGTCAAGAGATAAATTTCCAGAAAGCCGAGAGTACACGGACAATGATTAATTACAAGACCATTGGGGATACAGGAGAAAGTTTACCAAATATCTCCAGTCTCACAATTTCTTGATACAGAATGTTGATCCAAGTCCGCAGCACAAACCATGGCTGACTGAATAAATCGGCCAGAGTTGATCTCTAGTCGGCTGCTTATATAACATAAGTGATCTCACTGCAGAGATCTTAATCACGAACTACAGTTTAGGCAGCTTCCGGATAGACTTATCAATTAATGTTTAAGAATACCTTAAAAGGCTCCCTCTGAACTGTGCAGCTGTTTTGCTAATCTGATGTTCGTCACAACTTTAATCTCCTCGCAATGTGGGCACCTCGCAAAGTGGGTCTACGACCACGCACTAAAACAAAATTTAAATGAATCTAAATTCATGACCACGAACCAAAAGCAAAGTAATATATATAATTCCCCACCAAACCCCAGCCGTAAAAAAAGCTGAACTCTAAATTTTGACCTTTTCGTGTGATTGTATTGCAATTTATGGCTTTTAGCGGTCAGACTTTCACGGCCGCACTACAGTTGTAACAACTCCACGAAATGAGGAATACTCATGAAATTAGTATACTAATTAAGAGCACTTAAAGACTAGGGTACAATATGGTGCAATACTGCATAGTGCATACCTCTCTATGCTATGCTTACTTACAACTTACTCAACTTAGGAAATGAAACAGATTGTCGTCTTACTCTGATTTAAACTGCTCAAAAAGTGACTTACTCGGTTACAAATTTACGAGGTACTTAAAGTTGCTTCCTGCAATTAAACTTGTAGCTAAATTGTCGGGTAGATTGAGATTACGCAGAGAGAGAGAGAGAGAGAGAGAGAGAGGGAGGGAGAGAGGGGGAGAGAGAGAGAGAGAGAGAGAGAGAGAGGGAGATAGGATTATAAATGGTTGGCAGTTAAATCAAATTTGCCTTGAAACTATGAAACTGCCTTGCCGTTATATTTTTACTACCACATTTATGCTACTAAATAAGCAGATTATCTTGGAGCTTCCCTTAGAAATATTCGCAGAATTGAATCTTATTTTCTTGCTTATAAGCCTACAAAATATTATGTCTACAAGTCGCGGTGGTTAAAGAAGTCGAGTGATCGAGAGATAAATTCAATATGCTACCATTTTCACTTCAACTATAACTTCAACCAAAATGTCAAAATCAGCTGCCATTCGAAGTCTGGCGACAAACATACAACCCATTTGAAACGGTTACCATCAAACTGGCGCGTAGGCGTAGTGCAAGACTTAGAACGCCTCCAATATTCATCCTGTCACAATCTCAGACCTATTATTTTTACCCGATCCATGACTCAAAGTGCCGAGGGCACAAAAGAGTCAAGGACAAGGGTTAGTGATCGAGGTTTTTTAAAAATGGTAGCTTTGCGACCATGCGTGCGTGCGAGCGTGTGAGCTACGTGCCCGCGCGTCAATATGTCGCCCACGTTCTTAACTAGCCTGCGCAAAGTTATTTTGCGAGATATTCTGAATTAAATAATTGGTGTCGCGCGGCACTGAACTGACCAAATAAACTGTCAATTTCACCATGATATGTACGTATCCCACTAGTCACTTATTGATAGTTACTATTGTAAGTATTTATATTTTGCACAGATCCGTGTCAGGTTGTCAAATTCAATATGGAATTAACTGGGCGGCGCTCGGCCTGTCACTCCGCTATATATGCATGCTTATAAACAGCAAAGACTGGGGACCCAGGTTATATTGAATATAATATTATAATAAAATAAGCCATCACGGATCGGGAAATTGAGCGGCCATCCACAAAAGAAAAGCGGCCGCATTTCTTGTTCTTGATTATCACGCATTATGACGTAGGTATTATTTAATGATATCTCTACTATTATAATTCAAAGAATTATTTCTGTATGTACGTACACTGTACGACCGCCCACGTGCAAATTATGTAAACAAATAGAAGTTACATAGTAACCATAGTAACGAGGGTTGTTAAACGCACGTGCACGTGCAAAGATTGTTAAAACGGCATTTTTCATCGGTTTTGTTGATATTACGTTGTGTTTAGTGCGAGCAACATTTTAATCGGCTGTATCTTCGGTTGTGTATGATATTTTTTGACTCGATTTAAACTTACTAACAAAAAATACTATTAGCTTCCTCCCTGTGACCACGGGTTTTCTAGTCTCTACTATAATTCAAAGAATTATTTCTGTACAATGTTTGTACGACCGCCCACGTGCAAATTATGTAAAAAGCAAAAGGTTGCAAAGTAACCATGGTAACGACCAACGAGGGTTGTTACACGCACGTGCACGAGCAAAGATTGGCGAACGGCATTTTTATTGGTTTTGTTGATATTACGTTGTGTTTAGTGCGGGCAACATTTTAATCGGCTGTATCTTCGGTTGTGTATGATATTTTTTGACTCGATTTAAACTTACTAACAAAAAATACTATTAGCTTCCTCCCTGTGACCACGGGTTTTCTAGTAGGTTATAATACCGATATAATTAAATTCAATACATTTCACTTTTCAGACGTGTCGCACCCTAACTGTGTGACAGGCATTGAAGCAATAGCAGACGCTGTGACTCACGCTAGGTTCGTGGGAACGGACCCCGCTAGTGACGAGGTCGTTCTTATGAAAATACTTCAGGTTGGTTCCGGTATTATTGTTTTGTTAGCTCTATTAGATTACTAAATCAATTATTTTGTTAGTCAGATTATGAGGTATTATCTTGAGTTTTGGGAAAATCTCACTAGTCAATATTCTCTTTGAGAAAATATTTCATGATCCACCACATCAAGAGTTATGAGCCGCAGTATTCGGTTCACAGAGGTAGAAAAATTTGTATTCAGCTCTAAAATGGTGTAAAGTAGAAACAGTCTTATTTGAGTATTTGGTTGTTAAAGCTTTACAGAGTTCAGTTCTCAGACGAAGCCAGATTTTTAAAGATTCTTAGCGTTTGACTGGTTTCTTGGCGGTTTACTTGCTTTGAAAATGTGTCTCCTACTTCAGAATACTTCAAAATACGGTATTTGAGCTCTGTCTCAAATTGCTTAATCAGCAGTTAGTGATGATCGTACGAGGAAACATTATAAATTAGCAACTTGAGTGAAATTATTGAAGTAATCGTCTCTTATTCAACAGAAATCAAACATTATACAAATGGATAAGAAATTCGTAAAGATGTGCAAGACTTTTAAAAAAAACTCATTATTCTCTCTTCTGAATACAAGGCTTCTTCAAAACAAGGCAAGCTTTTAACAGAAATTAACCATTTTAGTTAAAATATTATGCGGAAAGCACGGCTGGAGATTCTCGCTAATTACATATTCTGGCCCTGGTACAACATCCTTCTTTCTGCAACGCAGCATTGTTTCCTACTTCACATGTGTGGAAATTTTAAACTTCTTTGGTGCAGACAGGAGGTTCCCAGAAGTTTTGGCTTTTAGCCAAAATTAATCTTGTTGTTAATTTGGAAGTTTCTAGACCAGATTAACTGCCGTGAACTTAACATGATTATTGATTATAACTTGAGGATCGTGTTTTGATTAAATTTTCCTTAAATACAAATAACTAATATCAAAATACCTTTTGTTCAAATAGCAGTAAACTTAGTCTCCACATTCACATTGATTGAGAGAATCTTAAAAACCTAAGAAGTGCGGCCCTCTAACCGAACTTTGTATCGGTTAAGTAAAAGTAAAAGTAAATATTGCGTTATGGAATGTGGAGTTCCGACGTCTGGTCAGCGGATATCCAAACCAACAAAGGCCTGGGCCATAAAATATAATGGAATATGGAAATTGAACTTGACTCTTCTTATCTTATCTGAGATAAAGGTTCCAGTAATAGTACTTAGAAAAATAAATGGTGATTAAAAGGTTTAAATTGGGTTTAATTAATGTGTTGCTTACCAACGCTGATTGAAATTTCTATGATATGAGTGGAGTTTCTTGTGAAGACGAATAGATTGTATAAGAACAGCAGAATTAGGTACTTAATAACTTAATAATTTTCCGCAAGGGTTGCCAGAGTATTATGATATGAAGTTATGAGGACAGACTGCGAGTCACCTCAGTACAGACTGGCTGGAGGGAAGTTTCAAAACAAATAACAGTGGCGCACTATATATTACACGCTATATTGTATCATGCGCACACCGCACGTGCTCGGGCATTATCGCCCGTAGCACTCAACAGCCAAGGTATTATTGTATTATAACAAAACATGCCCATTCACATTAATAGGCTATTCGCATAATAACAATATGGCCATTCACATATTATATTAAATTATGGCCATTCACATATTATGGCCATTCACGTTCGCGTTAGTATAACATAGGAATAATTACTTGTATGAAGAACGATATAATATCAATTAACTTAGATAATGCTCCAATAAAAATCAACGTGCAAATCGAGGGAGAGTCTTATTTAAGCCCGAGCTTGACCATAAACCATTATAATGATCCTGACTAAATTTTCATGATTACCAAAAGCTACAGGACCCTGGATGCTACAAGCCTGGGTATAATATTAATACTACCAATGTTAATACTTTTATAATCAGGTAAGGTACGCAATTGTTATCGCCAGGTGTAATCTTAGAGGCCAAAATCTGTAAATTACCCAAAGGAGCATTTTTGGAATTTTCGTTTTTCTGCTCCCGAAATGATATGCATTAACTAGTAATTGATATATTATTATCAATTTTTAGGCTGACGTGTGGCTAGGGTCACAGATCTAGGATTAAATGAAACCCCGACCACGCCTGCAGGATTGGGAGAGTCCGCGGTAGAATTTGAAGCAGATGAACCTTAAAAATATAATGAAGTGCTGGGTACAAGGAAAATACGGATCACAGAAAGTTTCATCGGAAAGTGTGATAAAGTAAAACTTTTAAAGCTAACTTTTAAATTTTAAAAGTTAGCGGCTTGAGCTAGCCGGCTAAGCCGGCTTAGCCAGCCGATTGAAATTGCCGGCTTAGCCAGCCGATTGCTATCGGCTAGCCGATCGGCTAACACATTTTCAGCAGACACTCTTAGATTTTGGAAATGTCGTAGTGATACATTGCCCCTTCTTTCAAAATTAGCATGCGCTATATTTTCGGTTCCTGCATCCGCTGCTGATGTGGAAAGAAAATGGTGAGCAGCAGGGCTGACTGTAAACAAGAGGAGATCAAAGATCTCATCAGACAATTTAAAAGCCATTATGCTCATTAATGATTAATCGTAACAGAGATCTTTTGTTAAGTTTTATAAGTAAATTAGAGATTGACTCTGACCAGTGAGAATTTCCTAACTTATTATTATTGTTGATTGAGGAGCACTACCCGAAGGCATTACTTATTGAAGTTATGAAATTGTATCACTTGTTACCTTCCATTTTAAGTTTTGCCCTTTAAATCGACATAAAGTATAAAGAAACATAAAGTATAAGCCAATCAATTTTAATACAAAATAATAATATTAGCAAAATAAAAATGTTTGGTACAATATCTGATATTAGGATATGGTAATCCCATTCCCAGTTTTAGCCGGCTAGCCAGCCGATTTTTTCTCTTAGCCTGCCGATTGCCGTCGGCTAGCCGGCTCACGGCTCTATTTTAAAAACAACAATACAACAGCAGCACATTGCCTAGTAGTTAGTTAACTAGAGTATAGTTAACGTTCATCCTTGTGGAACAGAAACACATGACACGACAGACGTGCCTCGACAGACGTGCCTCAACAAAAGAAGAAAAAAGAAAACAAATTTCTAACTAAATCGAACTAGTACCGTCAATATTTACGCAAATTAATTACTAAATCAACTTATGAAAATCACTGTCTCTCGGTATTAAAACCCACTAACACATATTACAACAGTATTACAGTAGATCACTGTAAGTAAGGTTATCAACACTTTAAGTAGCATTATTAATATTAACCACCGCTAACAGCCGTAAAACAGCTGCAACTAGAATGTAATATTTAGTAACCGAATCAATCTAATCATTGTACCGTTCCTCCGCAGGATGAACGGTAAATCGGTAAGAAGAGGTCTGATTGCCGTTATTAAATTGTCATATTACAGGTTAGTGACATATATCTCTCATACGGTAGGGGGTTGGTCTCGCTACTAACTCTTAGTCCTGCGTAATAAGACTTACGAGACGTGTTATAGTGCCTCAGAGCTTTAATGATGTGCCAGATAACAATATCGTCAATCGTCATCGCTGAGTCGAATCAGAAATAATGGGAAATTAAAAGAATGGGCCAGAGTTATCGTCATTATGAATCACAATTTCTGTACCCATTTTTGACCTAGAAAAGTTCAATTTCTATATAAATCCTGCAGCAATAAATAATAGCCCTACCGTTTGCAGACATGGGCGTCGCCGTCAGATGATCCGGCGGCAGCGTGGAGCCAAATTTGAAAGCATAGAGTATTTTCAAAATGTTTAGCTTCAAAATTTAAGAATGTGGCGCCTTTTAAAAATTGATCGTTAGATCAATCACAGGAATTTTGTATAGTGAATGCTATACAGCAGGGAAACCGGGTGATTCAGGGTAAACAAGAGTGGATTCGTAACTGTTAGTTCAAGGTTGATGAAATATTTATGAGACTTTTGGAAAAGGTGCGGCAGAGCGGCTTATATTCTTAAAAGAAGAAATAAGGCACAATTATAATGCCCCAAAATTTCATCATGAACGATGCAAGAACTTTCAGTTTAATTGTCTATTCTAATTTCATTGGAATTTTATTGACTTTTAAAAGCTTTTTTATGGGCTAGCAATTAATAGAAGTTACGATACGTTATCAACAGGGTAAACAACTGAAACCATAAGAAAGCAAACTGACAACTCGTGGATACCCTATTCTTTGCAGTTAAGGGGGCAGGGGGGGGTCTTCATGGAAATTTTCTCAAAATCGACTTTTTAGTTGTTTCTGATAGAGGGGAGTGATATCTATCAGATGCTTTTAATCCGATAGAAAAATATTGCTCCTAGCCGAAATTATCGCCGGTAAAAGGTCAGCGCTTGTGTGTAATTGTATTGCGCGAGCGATTTTTGATCGCATGCCCTGAAAATCGAGTCTAAAAATCTATCTTCTCCTACATTTTTTGAGCAATCACCCTCAAACGTTCAGGATATGTTCTAAGGATCATTTAGAAGGGATTGTCCGGGCAAAATTTTGAGATAGGCCTTTAAACATTTTTTATTCGATTTTAAAAATCTTGGACCTCGAAAAATCATCAAAAAACCAGGTCCAAGATTTTCAAAATCGAATAAAAAATGTTTAAAGGCCTATCTCAAAATTTTGCCCGGACAATCTCTTCTAAATGATCCCTAGAACATATCCTGAAAGTTTGAGGGTGATTGCTCAAAAAATGTAGGAGGAGATAGATTTTTAGACTCGATTTTCAGGGCACGCGATCAAAAATCGCTCGCGCAATACAATTACACACAAGCGCTGACCTTCTACCGGCGATAATTTCTGCTAGGAGCAATATTTTTCTATCGGATTAAAAGCATCTGATAGATTTCACTCCCATCTATCAGAAACAACTAAAAAGTCGATTTTGAGAAAATTTCCATGAAGACCCCCCCCCCCCCTGCCCCCTTAAATTAGATTCGTAGCAATGTTGGGATAAGCGGAGAAGTT